ACCGGGATCGGCGCCGGGATCAGCACCGGGATCGGCACCGGGATCAGTACCGGGATCAGTACCGGGATCAGCACCGGGATCGGCACCGGGATCAGAACCGGGATCGGCACTGGGATCAGTACCGGGATCAGTACCAGGATCAGCACCGGGATCGGCACCGGGATCGGCACCGGGATCAGAACCGGGATCGGCACTGGGATCAGTGCCAGGATCAGCACCAGGATCAGCACCGGGATCAGCACCGGGATCAGTGCCGGGATCGGCACCAGGGGGTGGGAGGAACCCAGAACCCACCGGAACCAAAACCCATCTCCACCAACCTCCACCTCCATCAGAACCAACCTCAATTGGAACCCACCTCCACCAAAACCCACCTCCACCGGAACCCACCGGAACCAGAACCCACCGGAACCAGAACCCATCTCCATCAGAACCCACCAGAACCCACCAGAACCAGAACCCACCTCCATCAGCTCATCCAGGAACTGGTTCCGTGTCTCGGGGTGCTCCAGCAGGGTCAGCGCGTCCGAGCCGCGCGCCACGGCCCCGGGGTCTGCGGGTGGGGCGGGACGACAGAGCGTCAGCACGGCGGGGACAAAAACCAGCACCCCAAAAACCCTCCATGGCACCCAAATCCCACCCCTGCCCCACCCCAAACCCCTCTGGGGGGTCCAGGGACAGTGGGAAGGGGGAATTTGGGGGGTGGGAGCTCCCAGGACCCCCCAGCCCTGCTCACCCTCAGTGCCAGCCTCCACCACCGTGATTGTCCCCTCCTGTCCCTTCTCTCCGTCGCCCCAGTCGATGCCATCGGCCCCCTGAGGAGCAAAGGGTGACAAACGGTGACAAAGGGGGACACAGGGGGGGTCTGGGGACACGGGGACACTCCTGGCCCTGGGAATGTCACAAACCTGGGGACTGGGCTCTGCTGTGATTGTCCCCTCCTGTCCCTTCTCTCCATCGCCCCAATCGATGCCATCGGCCCCCTGTGGTGACAGTGGGCGACAAACGGTGACAGTGGGTGACAAATGGTGACAGCAGGTGACACAGGGGGATTTGGGGGCACGGGGACACCCAGGGATGTCACCCACCTGGGGACTGGGCCCAGCCGATGTCCCCTCCTGTCCCTTCTCTTCGTCACCCCAGTCGATGCCATCGGCCCCCTGTGGTGACAGTGGGTGACAAACGGTGGCAGTGGGTGACAGTGGGTGGCACAGGGGGATCTGGGGACACGGGGACACCCAGGAACGTCACAAACCTGGGGACTGGGCTCTGCTGTGATTGTCCCCTCCTGTCCCTTCTCTCCATCGCCCCAATCGATGCCATCGGCCCCCTGTGGTGACAGTGGGTGACAAACGGTGACAGTGGGTGACAATGGGGCGACACAGAGGGATTTGGGGACACGGGGGACACCGAGGGATGTCACCCACCTGGGGACTGGGCTCCACCGTGATCCCCCAGTCGATGTCCCCGCCCTGGGGCGGCTCCGCGGGGAAATCGCCCCAATCGATCTGCGGGAAAAGAGCCCCGAACTCGCCCTGAGCCGCGGCCCCGCCCCAAAACCCGGTCCCCAAACGTCCCCCGGGGTCCCCAAACGTCCCCCGGGGTCCCCAAATGTCCCCCGGGGTCGCCGCCCCGGACCCACCGTGTCCTCCCGGGGCGGCTCCGGCTCCTCCCGCAGCCGCGGCCGCTCCACCCGCAGCGGCTCCAGCCCCGTGCGCCACCGGAACACCGAGCTGTTCCCGTTCCTGGCGACGAACCGCAACAGCGGCAGCACCGGGACACCGGGACTGTGGGGACATGGGGACACCGGGACTGTGGGGACATGGGGACACCGGGACTG